TATATATATATATATATATATATATACATATATATACACACATATATGTATATACATATGTATATATACATATGTATATATATATATGTGTGTATATATATGTATATATATATATATATATATATCTCATTTATATGTATATACATAAACCATCAAAGAAAGGTAAATACAGTGTTCGAATAAAGGACATATATAACATATGGAAATATGTTATATATAACATATGAAAATACTAGCTAACTCTATAAATTATACTTTTTATAAGGCTGCTATTTTTGTTTTGAATGTTTTTGTTTAACATTATTTCTTTGGTTTTTTTTTCTTTCCAGGAAAGTACTTCACCACAGTTATCTGCCTTGGGATCATATCAGTTTTTATTGAAATTTTGGTTAATAACGTATACATGCAAGGTAATGTATATAAAGCTAGCATGTATTTACTAAAGTGGTGTCGTTCTAAATCGGCATTCAATTCGAAGGCGGAAAACGACAACCACTGCACAGCGCAGACAGAAGAATCCCAAAATTCCATGGCAACAACGGCGGACGAAAAGCACACCTTAAATTTACAACATTATTGTGCCATTTTTGATTTCTACTTTGGAATTTTATATTTTGCTTTGTTATTAATACTCATGTTCTGGTTCTTTATAGTAATCTGAACTGTAGCCCTTTTAAGTATAACTCTATTCACAACGCTAGAGAAGTCCGGTATTTAAATAATCAACCATCAACCGCCTTTTGGATATTGTTGCATAGGTCCCACAAAACGACAGTGTACTAATAAATATACGTGCATGCGTTTGTTTTATAACACGTTTGTTTGTATGACACGCACGTATAGGGCCTGATAGCGTTGTTGATGATGATGAGAATGATGATGATAATGATAAGGATAATGATAAGGATAATGATGGTAATGATGATAATGATGATATTATGAAGATGTTGATGGAGATGATGTTGATGACTAAGAAACGGATATTGTTATAAACTTTTTTAAGCCTTTGGGTGTAAAGCTGCACAGATATTGTTTAATACAGATCCCGCGTTCCTATAATTGTTTTGTGAATATGTTAGTTATTTTAACACTATAATTCAATATAACATTATATATCTCATTTAAAAAATGGCCATTGTATATAGTTACTTTTGGTGCTGGCTGTAACTGGATGTAAGTGCGTTGGTATTGGCTGTCGATGTTTTGATTCCATTGTTGGTATAAATGCATATAAAAGTATACAAATAATGAATGTTTTTGAGAGCATGTCATCCGAACAGAGTAGTTATTTCTACGATGAAAACATTATATTAGGTAAAGGCATCCAATAATATACAAATAATTAATGTTTATGAATGCAATGATAAGAATAATATGTTCATGATTTTGAAGATTGACTGTTCCATTCAAATAGGCGGAGCCGAGTTGAATGGACCAGTCAATCTTTCAACGAATGGAAATATGCTTTCTATTGCGCTTATAAAAAATATTCATTATTTGTTGTATAACACACCTAAATAGATCCTTGTCATTTGATATATTATGAAAAAATCTACATTTTTTTTTACCAATCAAAAGATTGTATTAGGATGAAGTTATATCGTATCGTATCCGTGGAATGGAGCGAAACGAATGACCGAATATGTATGGATGAGAGTAAAAATGAACGTTGGAAGTAAATTTCCATGATGATTAAAGAGAGTTAAATAACCAATGTCAGGTGATACGAAATCCACCGATCAAACGACAAGGATCTATTTGGGTGTGGTATATAACACAAATAATAGAACAATAATGAATAGAAGTGGAACTAAATTGAATGATGCAAGTCAAAAGGGAAATAATTTGCTATTAAATGATGTAAATACCCAGTGTCACGTGATAATAAAATCAACCCAATAATGCATTTACGTGTGTTATAATGAATCATCATTAAGTGCATGAAATAATATAGGTCGCAGTCTACAACAAATAGATAAACATATATTCAAACACAAACTTATTATTATTTTACAGAAATTAAACATCATCATTTCTAGCAGGGAGTTAGTTTTTATTTTGTTAATTATAATTATTTTTTCTTTGATGCTCCCTATGCGCTAAAACTGTATTCTGTAGATAGGCCCTATAGATCATTAACTTCTGTTGTTGTAAACTGTGTATTGTGAAATAATATATAAATAGAATGAGCCTCCATAGACACTAATTCGGAACGCAGTTCATAAATATGAACATTTATACATTTCGTAACACACGTATAGTATGGTCTTAGTTTGTTGGTGTCGGGTTGTGGTGGTGAAAGGACTGTTCACGTGTAGGTGGAAAAGGTTAATTTGACCGACAGGGGGTCCAAGGGTGAAGCGCTAGTGCCTAGCCGTCTGCTGCCTAACGAGATTTTGATCCATTTTAAGCTGATACGTCCTAAAACATTATTTTTAACAATTTATATACATTTGGTCCGAAGATTTGTGTTTGACTGTGGAGGGGGATTACCGTACATTACATTACATTTGGGGTATCCGCAGATAAGGAATATCTCAGTGAAAACAGGCCGACAAATCCCGCGTATTCAAACTATGTCGTTCATTGTACTCCAACACCAACATAGCTGTATGCTAAGTTATGCAGAAGCCTTCAATACGCTATAAATAGATACAAGGTACCGTAATATAAAGTATTTATAGTTACAATTTCTATTAAAAATGGTAGTATGATAAATTATGTTTCTTGCGTTTGGCGCAGTGGTTTCGTTTGGCGCAGCGGTTAAAGCTCAGACTTAGAACGTCGTGGTTGCGTGTCTCTATCTAGCCAGGAGTAAAACGGATACTGGAGGATAGGAAAACAGACCTGCTTAGAGGAGTGGCGATCCCCTCAAGGCATTGTATAGTCTTACACAAACAATTAAGAAAGAGGGGGAAAGAAGGGGGGGGGGGGGGGGTGGTGGGTGCGCCCTGGTCCCGGACCTGTACAGTCTTGACTAACTTTTTTTACTATAAATTTCAGAGGTACCGTAGTCAACTGATAGGGAGTGATAATGGCGTGTTAGTTGATAATATTGCTTTATATAATCTTTTGGTAGCTTTGTGTTTTTTCTTGCGTGATATCATATTTGTTCCCGGCAAAATTTCACATTTTTTTTATTAGAAAAAATGCATATAGGCCTATGCATTACTCTATTTATTATAAACAATTGAAATATATTGGCATATATTTTAGTTTTACGCAAAAGAATAAAACAAAATTAGAAATACAGACTATTTCTCATAGGAGATTACCATTTTCTCGACAAATTCTTCGTTACTAGGCAAAGTCAGAGGTTGTAAATCGTATCCGCTGGAATACTCTCGCTTTTATGTATACTTTATACTGTCAATAAAGTGCACCCTCTCTAATGAAATTGGTTATTTGTGGCCTCCCTTGAGCTATCTAGATGTGTATAAGAGACAGATACTGAATAATGTTTGTGGGTTCCAGTTTCCACGATTGGAGGAGTAAATTGGTAGTCCTTTGAGAAATATTTCTCTCTCTGTACATTTCCCTGATAATTTTGCAGCTATCAATACCAGCTTCTTGCGCAACGGATGTAATCTTTTCTTGTCGTACTCCAGTGTTAGCAATGAGTTCATCTTTGGTAGGATTATGGGATTGTCTATCAATAGGTCCACAAATATCGTAAACCATGGTTGGGTTGGCCATAATGGCACAACTAGCACTGCCTTTGCCTCCTCTGTCCTTACCTTCTGTATGGCTCTTGCAATTAGGCTAAAAGGAGGGAAAATATAAGCTGTAAAATTACTCCATCTTTGGGAGAAGGCATCAACAAATTCTGCATCTGAATCTCTTTTCCAAGCAACATATCTTTTACATTTAGCTTTTAAACGAGATGCTGTCACAAGCTCTGTTTGTGGTTTTCAACCAATGAAATGACTGAGTACAACTTGTTGCAATTCACACCAGATTATCTATTTAATCGTCGAATCTTCCGACTTTGATAAAAATGAAAAGTAAAGGTATAATATAAAATTAACACAGAATCATTATACAAATATCGAACGGAAATGTTCCTGTTTATAAACAAAATGTTCTCACGGCACGTTACGTCTGCTCGGATCTACCGTAGCAACAAATCACCTTGGGCGGCTCAATTCCCCCAGCTTTCCTACAACAGTTTCTTGTAGCACAGTATCCGTAAAACTCGGGCGTCTCAATTCCACCACAGTTTTCTCGGCAGTATTATCCATAAAACTCGGGCGTCTCAATTCCACCACAGTTTCCTGTAATATTTTTCATAAAACTTGGGTGGCTCAATTCCACCACAGTTTTCTTGCATATATCAAGCATATTCCAGGCTACACACTTAGCCACATACTGCAGGATACTTCGCAAAACAAGGATAATTCCAATCCTTTAGGCCTATTTTTGGCCATACAAATCATTGGCCTCCCTTGAGCTATCTCCCGCTCAGCCAATCTTCCTCAACTGACCTCTACACCGTCCACCCCTCGCAATCATCCAAAATTAGCATAATTAATTTGCATATGCATAATTAAAATTAGCATACAAGATATCCAGGTAAGACACAAAGTGTATATGAAAAGTATGAGCTTCATCTCCTTTAGGTCAACATATACAGTCTTTCCATATAATGACGATGATAATAATAAAAATAATAATAATAATAATAATAATAATAATAATAATAATAATAATCATCACTATATAATAATAATAATCATCACTATATAATAATAATAATCATCACTATGTGACAATTCCTATGAAATAATTATTATATTATTTCACAAATGTCAATACTAGCAACGGAAAATATCATGTCTGCCGTTTGTATGTGTGATAACAGAACCTAAATCGAGGTAAGGCTAGGCCTAGCTTAGCAGTGTTGGATAGGCTAATGTTTTCGGCGCCTACTATATTTATTTGCAGACCTATCGCAAAACCAAACATGAAAAATCCATCCGCCTTTATTTTTTTTGTGTGGAACCCAAAAAAAGAAAATTAAATTTCAGTCTTATTTTACATTTTTAGGAATGTCTAAATTCAGTCAAATTAGCAATTTCGTATTACATATATAAATCTTTATAACATATATAAAAATCAGATTTTTCTTAACAACTGAAATCTTGCCGGTAATGGGGCTTTAAGTTCCCAAAAATGTGTCAAATGAGTACATCCAAAGGAGTTAATATTTACCTCGTAACTCATTAGGGAATCGAAAGCTTAATCGAAAAGTTTTGTGTTCTAATTCCATCACAACGATATGTTTCTCCAAAAATGTCATCATCTGAAAAAGGTGTTTATCAAAACTAAAATTATTATCAAGCGATAATAATTATCGAGTTATAATTGCGTATTTACTTGTATTCTTTCTACCTCGAATAGTCGTCTGACTTTTCCGCCTGGGTTGCTTTGGTAAGGTTGTATATGAGATCTTTCCAACATAACTTTTTGTAAGGGATTTGATTGAAATTTTAGATTGTGTTTGTTATTGATACGTGATTTGAAATCTGATTTAAGGGTTAAGAGTAGAGTCGCTTTGGGTCTTCCTGTGAACTGCGGTTGCTGAGTAGAAAAGTAAAGCTTCATGGCGATATTGGTTGGTGTGTGCTCATCAAGTCTGCGGATTTGACCGAAGAGGCGCCAGCGTTTTTCAAGGATTGTAATGGAAATTGTTTTTTCGTTGTCTTTTGTATAAGTTTTGTTTAATATTTTATTTAGATACGTAACTCCGATGAAGCATCAGTCAACAAATACAGAAAAAAGACTCATAAAATATGAATTTATTCTCTTTAGTCAGTATCACATTGTTCAAACAGTTATATGCATTACGGTCCTTAACTGGGATTGAAAGACTTGTTTGTTTAGACACTGGATCCAATAATCACTATATACTAGTAAATAATACTTTTGTTTTTCACTTACACGTGATCTTAACCAATTTCAATTAAGAATTATATCACAAACAGAGACTAATAATTTCATAACTTAGCAAGCTTCTTAGTCTGAACCAATTAATCTAATATTTTGCTTTTGGGCTTATATATTTACGAATTGTACAGTATTATAATCGCTTATTATTTCTGATATCAAAATGATATGATACCAATACTATTCGTAATGTTTTTAAGTCAGTCAGGTCTTTTTTTTTAGTTACAGTAACATGAGTTTGTCTCATACCTTAAATTCAACCTTACATAGACATAGTAGTACTCAATCTTTCTACTGTCTTATAATTTAGGCCTATTACCTGTTTATATTGTAAAATCCATACTTTTTCCATTTTCCTGAATTCTTACAACTCACCATGTAGCAAAAATACTGTTTCAGGTACGTAAATAAAAGTCAAGAAATTTTAAATTTTTATTACAAACCATAACATTAATGCGAATATCATTAAAAGACACATTAATCCGAAGCACAAATCAAAAAATGTACAATAAGCTTGTAATTTCTTTGTGTGTTCGGCGGCTTCTTCCTCTCTTTCTTTACTATCTTGCTCTGTTTCAGATTCTCCAATATTCCCCATCTGATAGTTGTTGTTTGGTCCCGGTTTCCTTTTAATTTCATAATAGCGTAATACATACACGCATGCCTTGTATAAATTTCCTTGCATATATATATTATATGCTACAATTTCCACAAACACTGATACGATTCCAATACATATTACTGAAGTGAAGTATTTTCCTAGAAAGAGAAAATTATTTTTAATATTTTAGAATACAATATCAAAAAAATTACTGCAGTTTTGTTTCATTGATGTTGACATGTTGTGATGTTTCATTGACGTTGACCTGTTGTTATAGTCTACCATAGACTTTCAACAGTGATACAAATGAGGATTGAAAAAATGATTAGATAATATTTAGGCCTATACTTACCTACAACAGAGGAATGGTTCCCAACTGGTGGCAAAGCAGACGCAATGATTTCTTGAAAAACAATCATTCCTAACACAGCTGTTATTCCGTACGATAGTTTCTCACCGCTATCAAACGGAACAAAGAACATCAAACAGATGAGAACGGAGCAGAAAAAGTAAGGTATCAAAATAAATAGTAAATAAAACTCGTGGCGTCGTAAGAGATGAATAGAGAAGACAGCATAAACAAACGGTTTGTTACTTGGTTTGTAATTTTCCACAATGCTTGTTGCATCTACATGCTGAAGTGTCCAAACTCCATTGTCTTTGAACTGATCTTCTTGATCCAAAAAACGGAGCAGTGGTTGGATATCGATTTCCGACTCGTCATGAATCCAAGAAGAAAATCGCAGCTTGCATGATTGATAATCGTATGGGAATAATTGGATGTTGATATTGCATGAACTTTGAAATATAGAGTATGCTGTGTATGTTGCCCTTCCGTCAGAGCATACCTTCACTGGTGCATCCGGTAGGAATTGGTTGTATTCTTCGTCAACACTATACAAAGAGTGGGAAGGAGTATGGATTAATAATTTTATTAAGGACAAAACTTTTTGTGACGATTTACCGTCTAGACGCGTGTAAAGTTCTGGAAGAAATATATCGGAGCACCATTCTTTTATTTCTTTTATATGTCTTACCATTATTTGCATATTTTGAGTTCCTATTTATGCCCATTCAAACATCGTAACAAATAATTTTACAATAACACGAAGCATGAACACAAGGGGCGTAATTTTATTTAAACAGAAATTTTAAAACAATTGTAAATAATACCTAATGTGACGTATATAATTCATGATGGAGTATGTCCATAAAAGTTAGTACAGATTAAACGTCGGTACTTTATCGGCAGATTTTATGTTAAAAAACAAAACAAAAAAGAAAAAAACAAACAAACAAAAAATTTAATTGCAAATAGATGATATTCATAACTTGTATCATGATTAAGTGAGCGAATTCTGCATTGTGAAACTGTCAAAGGGGCCAAAAAATGAAAAATGTAACTTTTGTAAATATGAGGATACTCAATGAGTTTCATATTTATTCACTTAAGGGAATATAGATAATATAGATAAGTATAAAACAGAAAATTATTGAAAAAGAAATAATGGAAAATAAAGGTTTGGTTATCCCCACAAAAGAGAAAAAGAAAAACACGAGTCATGACACAAAATATTGGACGAGGACTCGTCACGCTAAAAAAGCAACACATGTGAGAGTTCACTGTTCAATTTACTTTAATACAATACAGTGATAGGAGCAGAAGAGTATATAGTATAGGTAGTGGAACGTAAATACCACTTAGTGATTTTGGCTGGTACAAACGCGTATATGCTCACTAAATAAAGAAATAAAAATATTATAAACTGACCATGTAAATCACTAAAATAATTATATACGTGAAGAATAAGGAATGCTTACATCCATTACATATAGTTTAGCATATATTGTATAATCCATTTTTTACCATATTCTTTACCAGTATGCCTATCTTACCTACTTTAATATTGTTATAAACAAATTTATTATTGGCTCATGTTCTTCTTTATTTAAAAGTTAATTTGACTTTCATTTCCAAAGGTCTTTCTAAGATTATAGTTAAAGACGTAGTAGTATTCAATATTATGCTTTAGAATATTCTGTTAAATACGACAATACCGTGCGTTTGGTCGACTGGGCTTCAAAGAATGATTATTTAAATGATACACCGGGACAGATTTCTTGTATGTGTGTCTTTAGTAAATTAGGTCCTTTCCATTTTCTTTTAATTTGGATAGGCCTATAACGCTTAGAATTTTCAAAACTTGTTTTACTCCAAACTCTAAAAACTATTCGGACTCTTGTGTAAATTAGATTATTACCTTTAATGCGAATTTCATCGTTTAAAAAAAGTTTGGTTTTCCTAGTGAATCATGTTTGACTCTCCAAAAGATGTAGAGTTCTTACTTGTATCAAAGAGTATAAAACTGCAAGAGGTCCGACTGCCCTTATTCTGTATACAGGCAATGGAACGTTTAAAAAGTACTCCCACGACGAAGGGGCGTTTCCTTCATAAGAACGTAAAAAGCGTCCGTATTGAACGCGTGCTGCGTTTCGAATTCCAGCATACATTCTATAGACGCGCAGCACGCGCTCGATATGAACGCACTTTACGTTATTTTAAAGGCCACGCCTCTTTTGGGGTAGTACGGTAGTACTTTTGAAATAGGATTGTGTTCCAAAGAATCCTCGGCAGTCGGACCTCTTGCAGTTTTATACTCTTTGGTTTGACTCTCCAAAAGATGTAGAGTATTGTCAAAACTGTCAGCACAATTAGTGGTTTTGGTTGATTCTGACCTTTCGCGGTCTCGCATTGTTAATTTCACTGTGTCCTTAGCAAAGGGCTTTATCTACCTTTGTCTTTCTCCACCCACAAATAAAACTGGTATTAAGTTGAGGTTTATGATTTGTAAATAGTGATTTGTAAGTAGTGTAACTTAGTGCTAAGCTAATTTGACGACAATAAGTACTCTCCGGAAACATGTACTGTGTATATCGTCACCATTTTTAAGAAGACACAAACTTCCATTTCGACCAAGTTAACGTTTTTTTGAGAAAAACGCGTTTTGAAATGACTGCTACTCCGCAAAAATTTCACTATCAAGATATCAAAATATGTTTTGAATTATGTTTCAAAATAAAGCATTAATCAATTCAAACGTTAAATTATTCTTGAATGAACCTGTTAAGTATCGTGGAAAGTGTCTGTTCGTGAACACGATAAATATAAACCCAGCATAGGTGTTTTTACACATACAGCAAAGTTTGTGTCTTCGTGAAAACGAAAGTCTCATTACGCACTGTACGCGCTCCGTTGTCAGACACAAACCGTAGCCTATGTTTTACCATTGTACTCACGGGTGATTATAGGCCTATACAAACTAGGTTTATACTACTTAAACTAATATGTTTTTACTAATATTGATGCATGCGTTTAGGCCTGTTCAAATTTGTACTGCAAGAAGGGTATCGCTATGCCTAAGAAAGTTAGAATCTAATTTTTGCATCTAACTCTACCCCAGCTAGACTTTATCTATCTAATCACAACGATTGCAACGCGGCAAACGCGTCTTCTGATGACACACTGAAAGTTTGTGTCTGTTTTTCATTTTTCCCTTTTTGTTTGTTAGGGCTAATTAGTTTAATTGACTAGATAGTGTAGTTGTACATAGTCACAATGTCAAAAGCAGAAGAAAATATGACTTTTTAAATTTGTGTTTCTTCGTGGTGTCGGTGACGATCTGATTAGACCGTATTTAAACTGTAAATCAAACTTGATGTTCAAAACTGTGCAATAATACTAAAAGAATGTGTATTTTTATTGAAGATTTAATAAATACTGATAATAGATTATCCGCACTCACTTGTTGTCAAGTATTATATCAGGTTTCCAAATTTCGTCTACGGGAATAAGAACACAATCGACACCGTAGTCAGATGCATTCCAGCTTATGCGTTCGTCCGTCCAATCCTTTAAAAATAACATTAGAAATATGGATATAATTATTAGTCAGAATTAGGTTTTTCATTTATGTCCAGTTATCTACTTTTTAAACAATTACTTTCACTTCTAGAGCAAAAAAAATATGGGTAAGACGTTAAACTACAACAGTTCAAATGACGGCGACTATGTGGCTGCCATGTTATTAGGAATTGGACCACCAAACTGTCAAAGGACGGATTAGCACTTCTGATTCATCAGCCAGCAATGCTATTCCATTATTAGAAGTAACAAGTTCTAAGAACAATCAGCCTAGATTCAGTGGCTTTGCATCGTGGTCAACTGATACAATGTGTGATTCCAACTTGAATAGATAATCCGGGCTTAGCGTTTTTAACTGTACATTCTGGGAGATAGTCAAATGGATTATTCTGTATTAACCATATATGTATTCGATAATTCATTGAATCATTAGAAGTGAGATTAGTATAAAATTTGTGATTTATATATCGGCTACCCTTACCAGTGTAAACCAGCCAGCGACTTTCAGTTCCTGTAGAATATCATTCTGAAATTAATAACATTATTCTAATAACATGACTGATGTAAAGGTATTTCATTAATATTTGACAATGATATTTAATTTACTTTCTTAGAAAAAGTTTAGCCATATAGGATGATCAAAATTTAAAACGTATGTTTTGAAAAATTGTGGGTGACATTCAAATTAGCCTCTACTTCAAATTTGAATTGTAAAATAGTAAAATTACTATTGATCGACATTTAAAGCCGGACACTCAATGCGTGTACGACGGTAGTGTGACCGTCGCACGACGACACCAATGCGTAGCCAGAATTTTCAACAGCCGGGACAATATCAGGGTGGACCTACTTTACACGTAAATTCAAATAATGTGATCACATTTTCTTAAAATTTGACTTATTTTACGCGAAAATAATGAAAATCTGGACCCATTTCCTAAGAAAATTACCAATTTTAGGCTAAATATGAGATCTCTAGACTCAATTTTGCATAAAATTAAATAATTTGGACCCATTTAAAAATGTGAACCTATTCTTTGTGGACCCATTAGAAAAATTGTGTGGGACTGTAATTATCCCAATAGCTGTCTATGGCATTGGACGCCCCTCTTCCTGTGAGTGCCAGACCATAGTTGATTGTCGATGGTATTATGAACGACCAGATAATTATTGAAAAACGACCCGTTGCAGCACCTGTGTCGTCGCTTTGCGTTCTTCATAAATTTGCGTCGACAGACGACCGTCGGGCGCAGTGAGTTAACGGATTTATGTTTAGTTTGAATGCTTTCCGGTGGATGATTTTAACAACGCTATTTTTTTTTTTTTAATGTGACGAAGTGGTCAAGGAATCACAGGCAGAAATTTGAGTTGAACAGATCTTTTTTTTTTTTTTTTTTTTTTTTTTTTTTAGAAACTGACGTTTCCTGTTAAAATTACCTAGGCATTTTAGAGTGATGAATATGCGGAGGTATTAGGGAGACATTTCAGGACACCGACAGATTAACTGAATGCCAGTTTTTTGGGGTTTTTTTTGTTATGATGAAACGCATTTTAGGCAATTACGCTGGACCGTGAGCCCCTTTCTCTGGTCATGCCAAAAACGCTAGGCTTCGTTTTGTAGACTCAGTAAGAAAACAACATTGTTTTTTGTTGAATTTCTCACTATAGTTGATTTTAAATTTGAATAGAATGAATTTCGCTCTGGGGAATTACTACGGTATTATATCAGACATGACGGTTTAAATAAAAGTAGTGGAGGACTAAAGATAAATACAATGGTTCGTCTAAAAGATTACAGTCTTTTAACGCTAGTAGTCTTGTTATCAGTTTTAATCCCGTTTACTTGGTCAGTTGAACGAACTTTGGTAATGGAATTGGTTGGTAAATATTCCCGGAGTTTTGTGTTGTTTTGTTTTGTTTTTTTATAAACTTACCAGCTCAATTATTTGAGTTAACACAAAAGACATCGCCACTTTCACTACTGTTGAAGAGTTGAGTACCGGTCTAATTGACCGTGGTCCAAGACTGTTTAAAATTTCTTCAGCTATAAGGGTTTCGTTATTTGTTAGGACGGTGACACCGTGAACTATGAAAGAAACGAAATAGGTAGTGTAACAATATCATTCCTTGGTGAATAGCAGGGATTTATCAAGCGCATGCGTGACGTAAGTTTTGATAATTGTATAATGTACACTCAATTCTTTTTTAATACTTAAGACTCTTCTTGGAGCACCGATGTCTTGGAGAGTGGTGAATTCACAATTGTTGTGGAAGACAGAGAAATGAAGTTATCAGACCTTCTTTCCTAGTCAATACAAGCCCAGCAAATAATGTTTTGAAAGACGTCATTGTCAAGTAATAATACATTAACGCCCCAAACAATAGCTAAAATACGAAAACGTCACGCACATAAAAAATAAGTATATTTTTAGATTTGTTCATTGAAGTCTTATAATACGTATAAATCCTAAGTATACGCTGCTTGCATATGTCAAGTCAATGTCGTCTGCATTTTAGTAAAAGAAGTGATTAAAGCTGGACTGCAACCGGCAACTATGAACCAATCAAAACATGTAACATGTACGATTGATGTTGATATTGACATACTTGTACATGTGTAATCCTACTAGATATCTTCTGTACAGTAATGCAGCAGCATAGCTTTAAAACACAGTCGCAAACATTAACAATAGCATAACCAAAAACTAATCATATTTCATGAAAATTTATTTGCTGTCAATTAATTTAAACTTTCTATATCATTACAAGTGGCGGATTTAAAGGGGTGGGAGAATTAATTTATTTACCAAAGATTTATTTATCAAAAATGTTAGCCTAGTAAACACGGTATATTGTAGACATTTGAAAATAATAGTATCAACCATACCTCGTCAGTAAGAGACCATTTCCCGCAGTGGTGTTACTTTGAAAGTAACCATCTAAGATAGTTTGAAGCCTTTACCCCCCCCCCCCCCCCCCCCCCCCGCCCCCCCCCCCCCCTCCATCCACTAGCAAACAAACTAGGTTCCGCTCCGGCATACTGCACTATTATTAGTACGGGAAAAAAAACGACCCCTGATACAGCTAAAATAATATGGTTTGTATTAATATTATTAACTACATCAGTGGAAGCATTGAAAACACCACTTTTAACAATGAATAAAATGCACAATGTATTACCTGACATAACTGTCACTGCCATTATTAAACACGTTGAAAACAAACTAATCATTGCGAATTTGCGTATCTAGTCGATACCGAAAGTTTCAGGATTTACAACTATAAACGTGGCATACAAACATTTAGTAGTTTCCACTTCACCAAAATCTCTGGATATTCCAGTTACACTACCAATTCAAATATAAAAGGCCTTTTACTACAATCATGATTTTTATTACAATTGAGGTCGAGCACTGATCGGTGATAAGTAGGCTACGGTCACGTCATTGTGTGCACAGTAACGTTCAAAATGTATACAATAGCAATATGCATATGAATCACTACTAACTAGTAAAGCGGTTTTCTTATCTATAATAACCATAGCAAAAATATAAAGAAAATACAGTATAAATAAACACACAAGAAATGCCGATACATAAAAATAAAATAACAATAATGACAGTCATGTCTCAGGTATTGAAACTTTGGATAACATTTTCTACTTTTGTAATATCCACAATCAAGCAACTGAAAAGTTGACAGAATAAGTCAAGGGGCCCTCTTTAAATAAATGAAATAATGTGATGCTTTTACCCATCGAAATCTCTTAGAAGGCTTTGTGAGTGGAGTTGTTTTCAGTCGTGAGAAACATTCCTGCTATAACAGGGATTGAACCCAGGACATTTGGATTAGAAGGCAAGCATCTTAACTACTGAGCTAATCAACTCCTTTCATTCATTCATTCATTCATTCATTCATTCATTCATTCATTCATTCATTCATTCATTTATCTATCCATTTGTTCCTTCGTTCGTTCCTTCGTTTTTCCGTTCGTTCCTTCGTTCATTCATTCATTCATTCATTCATTCATTCATTCATTCTTTCATTCTTTCATTCATTTATTCATTCATTCATTCATTACATTCATTCATTCATTCATTCATTATTTTATTCATTTATTATATTATTTATTTTATTTGATTGTATTTATTTATATTATTTATGCAGGATAACATATATAGACGACATGGTAAACGCTGTTTTACAATCGATTACTAGATGAATTTGTGGTCAAATCCAAATAAATGAAATGAACTGTTGTTATGCGTACGTTGGTGGGCGAAACATTTGTCATGCTGTTGTAATCAGGTTCATGAATAATATTACATATTACACAGGTGGTTATGAACAATTTAATTGAATGCTGCATGCTCTTCGCAGCAGCACAGTATAATACAAGCATAGCTTCTTTTTTTTTTATGAATGAGCTCTTCGCGTAGTTTGCATTAAAATTGATGTAACGTCCGCCTTCCCTCGAGTGACATAATATTTGACAGAATGGAGGAACTAAGAAAACAAACGACTCAGATTGGCGCCTTGATCATAACGATACAGCGCCGCAGCTCGGATGAAGTAAAATTACTTTCTATGAACTCCGTCCTCCCACAAAGCATTTCGACCGGAAATTTCGCAATAATAGAGATATTATCTTTATACAAGTCAGTGGTCTGAGCAGTCTTTGTTATACGCCCCTCTATTACACATACTGAATTCCAATTCAAAGCTAATTTATTGTTATTATTTTATTGTTACTTGTATTTTCTCGGTTGGCCTATATTATTTCTGTTTAAAGCGCATAGGGGCAATGTGCAACATGCGCTATATAACTATAACATTATTATTATTATTATTATCATTATTATTATTATTATTATTATTATTATTATTATTATTATTATTGTTATTGTTATTGTTGTTATTGTTATTATTTTTGCCCAACTGTATAACAGATAGCTTAACAGATGAACTTGTATGTAACCATATAAGAATGCATACCCAATCCTACTTCGTATCTCACATTTATTCACTGCAATGCTGAAAGATTTTAGTGATTAGATTACCATTAGGTAATTAATGATTTACAACATTACATTATAAAATTTTTGTGCAATTAAAAAAGAGCATGTTTTATCCATTTTTACTAATACTTCATATCTGTGTATTATACCGTTTTGACAATAACGTTTTATGGCGGATTCAGGAATTGAAAATAAAGGGGGCCCAAAGAGGGACTTTCACAGATAGAAGATCTATACTACCTCAGCCCCACCATGGTTGGTGCTGAGGCAAGAAAATTTATGATTATGGCACCTCCAGATTGCCGGAAATGGTACTCTTAGACTTACAATTTGAGTAGAATTTTCTTTTATCTCCAATTTAATTTTTTTATTTGGAAAAATTTAGGGGCCGGGGGGAGAGAGGAGAAAGCCGACTCTCACCCACCCCCCCCNNNCCTCACCCACCCCCCCCCCCCCTTCTTGAATCCGCCACTGGTATCGATGGTTGGGGCTTAACACAAACATATTATATTCAATTCTTATCTTTAACACGAGGAGGTTATATACATAAATTATCACAACTCACCATGTACAGTAGCTTTATTAGAATCACAGTGATGCTCGTACCATAATAGATGCAAAGGTCACACGAAATTTGCAATCGTGGAAGAATAGAGAATTACCAGATGAGCATACGAATGATATTTTCAATTTATGTACCCTTTTATTTTTGTGGATTAAAATATATCGTTAATATATATCTAGTGTCTTCGGCATTTCACTTACAAAGTATTTGCGAAACCAGTTTATAATGAGCACACAATACCTGTACACACTCCCTTGCTCATATATGTTATTATTAAAGCACAATTTCAACCAACAGCGACATGCTTCTAACACTGATTACCCCATTTAAGTACTTTCCTGTAAAGAGAATGTGATTATGAGCCGACCCTGAAAACACACATTGAAGCTCGTCAAAAATTACCAGCTTTTGATCTGGTAACTTTAGTCAAATTGATCCCAGAGGTATGTGCATTCTGACATATACCACTGTCCATTGTATTGTGTCGGAAGAAGGGGATTTTTTTTTTCTGTATATTATTATTGCACATTGATGGAATAATTTTTACTAGATGGCACGCAACAATTACTGTACTACCAGTTTTTTTAAGTTCAATAATTATAAGGTAAATATTACGCTTGTGAGGAATAGGTCATTACCAATCTTTTCACAACCATGGCATCAAGATTATCACTTATAAAACAAGATTCCCCAACATCGTCTTACCATAATATGCACACAATCATCGATCATCATCATCATCATCATTACAACCGTCTCTGGCAGTTTTCTAGATGTTTTTTTTTTCTTTTTAAATAATTGCCGAACATAATTGGACAAGATTTGAAATTTTGAAGGTATTAGACTAATACCTGAATCACCCTATATATGTGTGTATGTATATGTGTGTATGTATCAATGTATGATGCTTGTATAATGCATGGGCTGTACTGAACACTTTTGGCACTCTCGCTGTCCTATCTCACAGCGGTTTCCATCGTGAAGTTATGGCTGGGTAAATATGATTAGGCAAGCCCAGAAATCGCATGGCTGAGGCTACGCTGGGCATGAACACCTGGGGAGGATTGCTATAAAACGGTCTTAAATGGTAGTCTTAACTCCTCGAATAAAGCCGGCTTTATCTCTGAGACGGTCTTTCTAAAGTCATTCCTCTAAGACCATTGCTATAAAACAGTCTTCCCTAAGACCGCTTTCAGTATTGAAACGCAAACAAGCACTACCTGGAAACGTAAGATTGAGGGTGACGTCATGCGCGTGCTCGACACACGCAAATGTATCGAAATGAACGTAAATAAACGCCGTAGACCTATTTTTACAGACGCTGAGAAGTGTGCGGAGTATTCGTCGTTCGATTCTCCGACTTTGACGATCTAGGTCTAGGTCTTTTGCACTGTTGAATTAATCAGCAGAACGCCATGATGAAAATGATTTAAGACCGTTTTAAGCCTCCTTCGAGTAGGCTTTAAAGTTTAAAGACGGCCAACTGTTTAGACAGCGGTATAGCAATTGTCTATAATCATAGACCAGTAGTGACGTCACGATTATATCCGGCTAACCGTTAAGACCGTCTAAAGACCGCTTGTAGCAATCCGCTCATCCAGTAGCCGAACATTTCAGTTTAGCTGGTCATTCAATTTCAAATTTCAGAGTCATTGCAATTGACCATAATGCCAATACAATAATGTAACAACTTAAGTACAAAATGGAGTAAAACATGACAGAATTTTAAAATATACAATATAAAATATGTTTAATATTCTTAATAATCAATCACTCCAATATTAGTGTATTCTCATTAATCAATCATTCCAATATTAGCGTATTGAAAACAACAAAAAAATGATACTCAATTAATATTCCGCCTAATAATAGAACTACCCCCTACTTATAAATTGAAATGATAAAGATTATGAATAAAAACCACAACAGAAAAATTATATCACATTGTATGTTACCTTTGTCATAAGAGGATGATAACAGTGGGTCTAACCACCAATAATTATATATCAGAAAAATAACATACTATAGAAGAAAAAAAATATTAATTATAAATAATCAAAATTCACATTATTTAAATGGTTTTGTGGAACTTCAAACAATTGACTCTTTAAATTTCTTCTTAAAATTAATTCTGGAACAAAATCTTAAACAGAAATCAATACAAAATTATAATCCCTATTTTAAAAAGATCGAAAAAGCTATAATTTCAATAAAAGAAAGATTAAAATAATTAAATTTCTACTAATTTACGGATAGGCCTACCGGTATGTGATTATACAAACATCTAAATGATTACCAGCAAGATGAAGGGTAAAAGCTACACGGTATTAATTTTAGCTGGAGAGAAATTACTTAGGCCTATTAAAATTATTATTATTAAGATACTGCGTAAGCTACTGCGTAAGCTATTGAAGTGAGTACTTAAATAAATGACTTTCAATGACAAAGATAATGTTCAATCAGACTGAGAGAGCTTAGCTCAGTCGGCTAATCTAGTGGTAGCCACTGTGTGTACGCTAAACCGTAGAGATCTGGCTCTCCTTGTGTTTCAGCTAAAGGGCTGAAATACAAGTTAGACATTTAAGCCGTTGGTCCCGTGTGCATCTATGGCCCATGTGCACGTTGAATAACGCAGTACACTCTTCGGAAAAGAGTAGGGGTTGTCTCCCGGTGTACTGTCCAATCACCACCAGAAGGACCCCACTGGAAATTCTTCTAGACTTTCGTGGCTATCCTTGGTGTTTACACTGAAAAAATCCAATCCAATCCAATCCAGTCGTTCATAAACCGTATGTCAAATACCTTGGTTGTCTCCTTCACAATACTTTAAGTGGAACATCATTAAAGCAAAGCACAATTAACAAAATTAACTCGAGATTTTACATTTCTTTATCGTAATATATAATGCTTAAACAATCAGACTAGAAAATTCTGTGTAACGCTCTTAACCAAAGTCATCATGACTATCTACTTCATGGTTTGATGGACTTGCCAAGGAACTTAAAAATAATTTACAAACAGCACAGAATAAAGCTGTGAGATGTATTTTAGGGAAAGGTAACCGGTGACATGTTGGAGAACAATACGGAAATTCCATTCCATATGTATTCCCTTTTCGTCAAACTAAGTATGGCTCATAAATATGAAATAAGATCTAGTGAATCCTCTCCTAAATGTTATAGGGTAATGCATTTTTTATTGTAACGGAATAAAAAAAATGGAATCTCTCCCAGATTCCATTAAAGCCAGAACCGCTACTAAGCTATAAACACAAAGTTAAAGAATATTTTTTGAATGCAGTGTAAAATGTACTATTTCATCATCTTCAAATAATATTTAATTTGGAATAATGATGTCTGAGCTGCCTCAGTTAAATGTTCAAAATGACTTAGATGGAAACTTTATTTAATTATCCTTGGTTCAATTCGTTCTCTTTCTTCCCTTGCGTGACGTCATCTGTTTTTTGATATGTTTTTATTGTTGTATTTTATGGGATCATTATTCTTTTTCGTTTTGTTCATGTTGTAATTGTATTTTATGTATTTGAACCAATCAGACAATCACTGCGTATAAGCTATTAACCTACTAAAAAACACTTCTATTATCCTATATTATAAAAACCATGCGCGATGATCGTATCATCGGTGGAGGACAGTATTTCGATGCTTTTTTAGATATGCAAATTTGTTATAATTTGTTTGTAGTTACAATATTCACTATCATAGATATTACCTGTAGGCACTTGGTTATTTAAAATATTATACAATGCTTTGTTTTGTTTTTGCAAATATTTAATAAACATACATCAAATATGTTTACTAATACCTCATAATTGTGTATTATACCGTTTCGACAATAAAGATCTATCCTATCGTATCTATATCAAATATACACTGTTTAGATATTGTATTAGATTTTGATATTTAATTGTTTTTATCTGAACACAAATAGAGATAAACATTTATTTTCATTAATACGTGAGGGTTATTTACATAATTAATCATAATTCACCATGTAGCTTTATCACAATCACAATGATGCTCATAATAAATGCAAATATTCGTTGTGTAAATGTTAAAAAATATATATATATTTTATTTTGGATAATAAAGAAGAGAGAAAACAAAATAATAATAAATGCAAAATGACATGACATTTTCAATCATGAAAGAATAGAGAATTAACAAATAAACATTGCAATGATATTTTCAAATTATGTGTCATTTATAATGTCACATTGAAATATATCGTTAATACCAGCAACAATATAAAAAACAGAAATCCAAGTGTGAAATCAACATAATCACAGATTGCTTGTAGTTTTGTTTCATTTATTGTTTGTGTTTGTTTGTCTTGTTGTTCCTTTTTATTTTTGTCCCTGTCATTTGATGCCACTGCTGCTGTTGTGCGTGCTTGTTCTTCTTGTTGTTCTTCATCTTGTATTTGTTCGGAGTCTTCTTTCTTTTCCACACCAGTTCCATCTTCCGGGCTGCATGTTTCATCCGCTTTTGTTTGTCTACTACACTTACATAACGCGCCCTTTTTAGTGCGCATGTAGTTTGTAAGTTTCAAGCATACCTTATACACACTCCCTCGCCTATATATATTACAAATCAGAATTTCCAAAAACATCGATATGCTTCCAACACCGATTACCGCATTAAAGTACTTTCCTAAAAAGTGAAAGTGATTCATACACAAATTAAAAAGATGTTTATTTATGTATTTAATATAATAAGTTAATAAAGTTATATAACATGCCTTGAAGTTAATTATTGTCAACATTGTCCTACCATTACATTCAACATCATCACCATCATCATCATCATTATCCAAACAACCGTCTGCGACATTTTTCGATCGTTTTCAAAATGATTATTAAACATAGTAATTACCAAAAACAGATGACTCGTTTCCAACCGGCGGCAGAGATAACGCAATGATTTGCTGAAATATTATCATTGCTAGTACAGATGTGATTCCATACGTGAGTTTCTCACCACTCTCAACAGGAATAAAGAACACTAAGCATGTAAGGTAAGAACAGAAATAATAAGGAATAAAAATAAATCTCCACTGAAACTCGTGACGTCGCTTTAGATGCACAGAGAAGACAGCATACACATACGGGTTGGATTCAGTATTGTATTCCTCAATTTCACGCCATGCATCGACATCCTCAAGATTCCACACTCCGTTATAATTGAAGAATTCTTTTTGATCCAATACACGAAGCTGTGGATTAACGTCGAGCTCAAATATGTCATGATTCCAAGACCCAAATCGTAGGTTGCATGTTTGATTATCGTATGGGTACAATTCGATGTGAATATTGCAGGAACTTTTAAATATAGAATATGCTGCGTATGTCGAACTACCGTCAGAACATACGTGTACTGGTGCATCCGGTAGGAAATGACTATAGTCTTCGTCACGGCTGGAGAATGAATTATTTTTTTTAATCAGGTTAGTTTAATTACAATTGAATATGTTGAAATGTTAAAGGTCGTAAAGTGACGGCTGGATGTCTTATACACACTTTTTAATTGCATTTTACATTTATTTAAACTAAATTAGTGTAAAATGCATTAAATCATCCACTTATATATTTTGTACACACTGAAGCGGTTGGTTGAATCCAAAAGTGTTTCAAAAGATCAACGGTTAAAACGTGGATAGCGCCACCTTATGCGGCAACCAAATACCATTTTAAAAATACTTTTATGTATTATATCAGAAGGAGAGGTAGATTTTGAAATTGCTATAGCGCCGTTAAAACAAGGTTTGTCACTTGCACTTTACAGTAAATGAAGAAAATAATAATAATAATAATAATAATAATAAATGAATAACAATAATAACAATAAAAATAATAGTAAGATTAATAATATATTATTAATGATAATAATTATGTTTTTGTTAGGATAGATAGATTTAAAAATTTCTATAGTGCTGGTTAAACCTAGGTTTGTCACTTTTACTTTACAGCAAATGAAGAAAATAAGATCAATACATTGTATGATTACCAAACTGAATGGAGGTAATTAGGAATTGGTTTGGAGCGAGAGAAAGGCTTTATCATTAGAACCTCTGTTTTGGAAGGGTTGATCTTTAATGTCATATCAATGTCATCCTATTTGTAAGAGATAAAAATCATGTTCGATTAAGTGAATTGTGGAGGTGAGTATTGGAGAAATTCTGGTACCGTTAGATAGAGGAGAAGAGTTTCTTTCCAATGCAACTCGATTTACCTTTTTCCATAGAGGAGGCGTGGAATTATACTGAAATATTCATTTTTTGACTATTTTTAAGGCGGCCATCTTGAATTTCAATATGGCTGCCATTTTACTTTTTCGAAACCTGTCTCATTGGCTTCAGTGACCCTAAACGTATAGTTCGACACCAGATTTGCCCTTTTCATCGGATATAAGTGAAGTTATGAGCCAATAATAAAAAAAAAAATATGTTCCGCCCTTTTTCTGGACGTTCTCTATCGCTCAATTTCTTATTTATACCCTAGTGATGCTAAATCAGCAGAGAAACCTTAGTCCCAGAAAAATGGTCTGATTTTCACTATACTATGGTGCCAGTTTCATCGAATCAATCAGCAGATTTCCTGGAAACTCAGTGAAACTATCAAGACCTAGGCACAAAATGTAGTCTAGAGCAAATATATTTCATTTGCCCACAATGAAACTTCAGGGGCATCATGTGGGCGAAGTGTCCAACTGAGGTATGAATTTCCCGAAAATCGAGACTTTTGTGATATTTTAGTTCAAATGTCAAAGTCATGACTTTACCTATATATCGCTCACTAGTCCGGACATCATCGAGTTGCATATCATTGGAAAGAGGAGCTTCTCTATCCAACGGTACCAGAATTGTTGAGTTTCAAGAGAGATATCAGCAGTTGTCTTGTCAGAAGGTGAGTTTTTTAGCCAAATCTCATGAAAATTTCAAATTGCTCTAACTCATCAGGAAATGCTGGCGCGGAGCCAAAAAGTTCACTGTGGGGTTATATCAGGTAGAGTGATCACTATTGTAACTGAATCGGACGCATTGAGTTCAACTGACGGAGAGTGAAAATCTTGAGTTCGTTATTATTTAGTTTATTTGTTATTTGCTGAAGTCTAGGGCTCACAGCTGTAACCGAACCCCTGGTCATCCTGACAAGGACCAGGTCCGTTAAAATATATAGACCTATCACTTCATAATCGAAGACAGAAATTTTTTTTATTTTCTTGTTACGCTGCGAGACCAAAAATATATCGAATGTATTTAAAGGCATTTTGTTACAGGCTTAATGCTCGCTTGTCTATTTAAAATTCACAAACCCTTGGATTAAATAGTTTGGTAATTGCAGTTTTTGTGTCTTTTGTTATAGTTCTCGACTGTATTTCAATGTGTTGCTTGAGGGTATCTCGATTGTCGTTTTATTCAAAAACGTGGGGACGTTTCACATCGGTAAACGCGTATTTGCTTATACCCGTAGGCCTGGGCCTATTACTACATCGATAACAATTAATGTTATTCGACAAAGGGGCTAATGCTTTATTGAGATTTGCTATACTAATGCTTGATTATTATATGAGAAAAAAGTTTGAAATTCAGTGTCAGTTTGAATGCAGATTTGAAACAGACATTTTCAGCTCCGTTAAAATGTATAAAGTAAAACGAAAAACAGAAACCCAAAATACCTATAGTACTAAACAAATTATGAAGTAAAAAATATGAAAACCAAGTTCAAAACTACAGAAGAGTTAGTGAAATTTGAAGTATTGCTGCAATGGTAATAACGAGGTAGGCTTACTTGGAGACTCATAACCATTGCGCACTATGTGAGCCGACCTTGTACAAAGACATTTTCCGTTCATCGCAATTCCGTGAATGAAAGCAAAAATTGTTTATGCATATCACGGTAGTTTTGTATTTAACCTAGCTGCAACAAGTTTAAGCGCTTTAGAAAACGCAAATTGAGTTTATAATTTAATTAACTGTCAAAAAAATTTTAAATTGTTCCTATATCCACACCCTACTGCGGGTCGTCACCAAAATTGGATCAGTTCTTAATTTGACCATGACAAACTATTTTCAAAGTTTCATTTCCATCCATTTATAACTGGTATACGTAAGTAATTTTATTGACCCTCAAATTTACATCCTAACCTGGACCGTCCTCAACACATAACACTATCTTCCTTGTAACTTGGTTTCATTCTGAGCAGTTGACCCGTTTTTGTAATATCTGGTCTGGGACGTTTTCCTTTGAATGGTCCTCATATTCACACCCTACTCCGGATCTTCACACAAATTTCATCAATTCTTCACTGGATCGTGACAAACTATTATAGAAATTTAAATGACCCTCACATTTTACACCCTCACCAACTGGATCGTCACCAAAACACAACAATGTCTTACTTCTAACTTGCTTAAATTTCCAAAATTTTTCATTCAGATGAGTTGATCCGTCACAAAAATTAATAATTTCTTTAATAGACCTTGACAAACTGTTATATAAAGTTTCAATTATACACATTGATTTTTTAAAGAGATATTTAGGTTTGGGTCCTCAGAAATTTAAATTACCCTCAAATTTACACCCTTAACAGGATCGTCCCCAATACGAAATTTCTTTCTTGTAACTTGGTCGAACATTCATTCAGGTCAATAGACCAGCTTTTGAAATATTTGGTGTACACTGTTTTCCTTTAAACCACTAGAACTGGTCCTCACATGCAAAATCAGAACAAAAACAATGGCTTTTCCAACTACAGCTGCGAAAAGCCAATAATAATAATAATATTAATAATAATAATAATAATAATAATAATAATAATAATAATAATAATTAAAATTATTACTAATAATAATAGTAAAAATATTAATAATATGCCTACAAGTTCAGCCTTATAACATTGGAATGAAAAGAGACGACTGCAGTAACACACCTTCATTATCAAGTAAATAATATAATGTGGTATGACTGCATAATTGTATAAGGGCACGTGGGGTATCAGTAAACATTTGACACCGTTAACCTAATTCTGATTATCTTCACTGCAAGTACGATGACGTTTGTACGGTTGCTACAAAAAAATAAATTAAAAAAATACATAAATTAAAAAAAAAAGACAGCTTTGTATCCCTTGAACTCTTTAAAGGTTATTTGCTTTTATTAGGTGTTTAAATATGCTTCGTACCAAAGCACGATGTATCACGGAAATACTTTTTGAAAGCATATTTCTACAGCAGTTAAAACGTCGGACTCACGATTTTGTTTGATATTTTAAAGTTTTTTCAACTATACTGATCGGATTTTAGAACTGCGTCAGATGATCATACTTCATGAATACGTTTTTTGTTTAGTGAAGATTTACTTCACTGCAAGTAGATCAATTATTGTTCAGTGTTATTATACATTATCAGAGACTCGTGAAAGCCCAATGGGCCATAACTGATTCAAATAAAGTTTATGGATCTTCAGTATATTATTCAATATAGTATTCTATAGATTCATCATGTTACAATGCCGTAAATAGCGTAACCTGTTAAAAATAAATCTCAGAATTCATGAGCATTAGAGTTTTGCCTGGTAGGCTACTAAGGTGCCTTTTGGGACGCTTAAAAGTACCCTGACTACAAATGTACTACGAACAGCCTTTGAAATATTTGGTGTACACTGTTTTCCTTTAAACCACTAGAGTTGGTCCTCACATGCACACTCCACTCTAGATTGACACCAAGTATTAGGAGGCACATCCTTAATATATTCTCTATGTTTCGGCAAAACATTGCAATGTCCCCTTCCAGAAAAAGCCAGTGCAAAAAGATATGGAAAAAGTATGCAAGAAAAAAGGGAAAAAAAATCAGAACAAAAACAATGGCTTTTCCAACTACAGCTGCGAAAAGCCAATGATAATAATAATAATAATAATGATGATAATAATAATAATAATAAATAATAATAATATGCCTTCAAGTTCACCCTTAACAGGATCGTCCCCAATACATAATTTCTTTCTTGTAACTTGGTCAAACTTTCATTCAGATCAATAGACCAGCTTTTGAAATATTTGGTGTACACTGTTTTCCTTTAAACCATTAGAATTGGTCCTCACATGCACACTCCACCCTAGATTGACACCAAGTATTAGGAGGCACATCCTTAATATATTTTCTATGTTTCGGCAAAACATGGTAATGTTCCCCTTCCAGAAAAAGCCAGTGCAAAAAGATATGGAAAAAGTATGCAAGAAAAAATGGAAAAAATCAGAACAAAAAAATGGCTTTTCCAACTACAGCTGCGAAAAGCCATTATTAATAATAATAATAATAATAATAATAATAATAATAATAATAATAATAATAATAATAATAATAATAATAATAATAATAGTAATAATAATAATAATAATATGCCTACAAGTTCAACCTTATAACATTGGAAT